TATCTGGGCTCAGCCAGCCAGGGCGGCTACCTCAAGATCTTCATGGAGGAAGTGCCTGGAGGTACCTGTCCTCCTGCGATGGGAATGGAAGTGGGGGTGTGGGGCGTGGGGATGGAGCCAGACAGGGGTGGAGAACCCTTAGGGGACATGAACCAGAGCGTGTGTGTGGGTGGTGTAGCCCACAATTAGCTGATGCTGTGCAGTTGGGTGATGGAGTCTGGGCCACGGTATGGGTGTGTCTGGGCAGAGAGCTGTGGGCTGGAGAGAGAGGGTGGCAATGATGACCTTGAACGGCACCTGCCCAGGCAGCCTGTCCTCCTTGCTGCGGTCAGTGTGGGGACCCCTGCAGGACAACGAGAGCACCATCAGTTTCTACACCCGCCAGATCCTGCAGGGACTCAGCTACCTGCATGACAACCGCATTGTGCATCGTGACATCAAGGTAAGCCCTGTAGCTGGCTCACCTTGGCTTGCTGGTGGGCGGGGGGGGGGGGGGGGAGATATGGCCCAGACAGAGGCTGGCAGTTTAGACTTAGCTGGCAGATCCTTTGCAAAGGGTGGGATATTCATCAAGAAGGTGCCCTAGAGAAGGAGACCAGATCTGAAGCCAAACCAGGTGTCAGTTCCCAGAGGGGCATAGTGGGATGGGAGGGGGAGGAGGCTGATAGAGGCAGGGTCAGATTGTGATTCCCAGGAGATGGGCTCCTGGGATAGGGTCCACTTCTGGTGTCAGCACCCCAGCTTAATGTCCACTGAGCGGTGTCCACTCTCCTCAGGGGGACAATGTGCTGATCAACACTTTCAGTGGGCTACTCAAGATTTCCGACTTTGGCACCTCCAAGCGGCTGGCAGGCATCACCCCTTGCACTGAGACCTTCACAGGTAACAGGTGTGGGGTGGTGAGTGGAGATGCTGACCTGGGGCAGGACTCTTGGGGCCTTCCCAGGAAGGTGCTTCTCCTGGGCATGGAGTAGAGTTCATGGGGGATAGCACCCAGGGCAGGCGATTGAGCAAGGGCTGAGGTGATGGAATCTAGAACTGGAGCTTGGGTAGCTGAGGACATTGAGTTTAGTGCCTGAAATGGAACCCGGAAGTGTTGCTGCGGACCAAAGTTGGTGGTAAATTCAGAGTGGCTGATGGAATCCAGGTTATAGGATGGAACCTACTGCAAGTGATGGAATCCATGGATGGGATGGACCCTAAGATGAGTGAGGAAACTCAGGTAGATGTTCGACGACCAGGATAGGTGATGGGAGCTGTTTTGGATGACAGACTTCAGGATGGGTACAGGCAGCCAAAGGAGGAGAGAGCCCCTGCCGCTCCATAGCGATAAAGCCTAGGTGAGCATTATTACTACTGCTCCTGTCCTAGGGACCCTACAGTACATGGCCCCAGAAATCATTGACCAGGGCCCACGCGGGTACGGGAAAGCGGCTGACATCTGGTCGCTGGGCTGCACTGTCATCGAGATGGCCACAGGTCACCCACCCTTCCACGAGCTCGGGAGCCCACAGGCTGCCATGTTTCAGGTGAGACCCCTCAGGCCCTGGCTCAGCAGGTGGGGTGGGGACAGACAGTGTCTTGCACGTCTCCAAACTTAATTCTTGTTTTCCCTCCCGGCCCCCTCCCAGGTGGGCATGTACAAGGTACATCCGCCAATGCCCAGTTCTCTGTCAGCCGAGGCCCAAGCCTTCCTCCTGCGAACGTTTGAGCCAGACCCCTGTCTCCGTGCCAGTGCTCAAGCACTGCTGGGGGACCCCTTCCTGCAGCCTGGGAAGAGGAGCCGAAGCCCGGGCTCACCTCAGCATGCTCCCCGGCCCCCAGGTACTGCGTGGGTGGAGAGGGGTGCACACTGGAGTGAGGGCAGAGAGCTGTGGAGCTGAGGGCTGACGCGGGGCCCAGGCTGACAGCCTTGTTCCTCCCTCAGATGCCCCTTCAGCCAGCCCTCTTCCTTCAGCTGACTCCACCACCCAGTCCCAGACATTCCCACGCCCTCAGGCACCCTCTCAACACCCGCCTAGTCCCCCGAAGCGCTGCCTCAGCTACGGGGACACCAGCCAGCTCCGGTGAGAGCCCAGGGTCCTGGGGCGGGTTCACTTTACCTGGTTTTGTCCTTGCACTCCCTCCAGAATAAGCCCTCTCTACGGACCTGGGCACCTGACCACTTGCAAGGATGTCGCTTGGTGCCTACCTCCCAATTGCTCTTACTTGTATTTCGTTAGGGTGCCTCCTCCGTGCCAGGTCTCTCTCTTATCCCTGTGAGAGAGGCCTGAAAGTCAAAGCCAGCGCCGGGATCCAAAACCTGGGGCGGAGGTAGCTGGTCGGTATTGCCGCCCGCCCTCCATTGGCCGCTCCCCATTGCACCCAGGGTGCCCGAGGAGCCCGGAGCCGAAGATCCCGCGTCCCCGGAGGAGAGTTCCGGGCTGAGCCTGCTGCATCAAGAGAGCAAGCGCCGGGCCATGCTGGCCGAGGTGCTGAAGCAGGAGCTGCCCACGCTGGCGGAGAATCTGTGGCTGGAGCAGGACCAGGTGGGCGGCCCGCCCCCTCGCCCCCTGGTGGCAGAGCACCGGCAGGACTCGGGCTAATGGCCTTCCCCAACCCCAGCCCCTTACCAGCATCTCTCTTGGCTCAAATGGAAATACCTTCCTTCTCAGGAACCCCGTCTGGGCAGGAATCTTGTGGAACAGCTACTGCACTGCCTCGGGGCGCACATCCACACGCCCAACCGCCGGCAGCTGGCCCAGGAGCTGCGGTCATTGCAAGGGCAGCTGCGGGCCCAGGGCCTTGAGCCTGCACTTCTGCACAGACCACTCTTTGCCTTCCCCGATGCGGTGAGTGACTTTTCTCACAGTTAGGGCTGCCCAAGAACAGCTCATGAACTCCCTGTGCAAGGTCTTGATGTTGAAAGATTCCATGTCTTCTCTGTGACGATAGAGCCATCAGGGAAGGGACATCTGCGCAGTCCTAGCTTCCCAGCCCCTCCCTTGACTCCAAGCCGGTCCACCCCACTTGCTTCAGGCAGACTTTCTAGGCCTTTCCAACTCCAGCCCCACCTCTCTTTGAGGCTTAGCAGTCTCAGCGGCGCCATCCTCCCTCCCAGGTGAAGCAGATTCTCCGCAGGCGCCAGATCCGCCCACACTGGATGTTCGTGCTGGACTCGCTGCTCAGCCGGGCTGTACGGGGAGCCCTAGCGGTGCTGAGCCCAGGTAGGCCGGGAGCAGAGATGGCCTGCCTGTGGGTGAGGGCGTGGCCCTTGGAGGCGTGGGGAACACAAATGGAGCTGGCAGGGGGTGTGGTCACCAGGCCTGACCCAGGCCAGGAAGGAGTGGGTGGGGGAGTGACCAGACATCTCCCGTACTGACACCACCTGGCCAGTGCACAGAGCTCCCCACGCCCTCTGCCCGTGTCCGAGGGTCCCAAATGCCCGGCCTAAGCTCACCTCACTCTGACCGGCAGGAGTGGAGAAGGATGCAGTCCCACAGAGGTCAGAGGAGTCCAGTAAAGAGGAGCCCCAGCCCAAGCAGCAGGACACCCCAGTCCAGCCAAGCCTGCTCCCAGGGGAACCCGAGCAGAGCCCCCCACCTCTGATGGTGCAGCTGGGCCTCTTGCGAGCAGAGACTGATCGGTAAGCCCCCTGGGACCCATCCCTAGCCTCTGTGTGAGCGTCACCCCCACTCTCCCCTCCCTTCTACTGGCCTTCTGCCATCCAACAGGCTCCGAGATGTCCTGGCTGAGAAGGAATTGGAGTGCCAGGCTCTGATGCAACAGGCTCTACAGCGGGTGGACGAGGAGGCCAGGACCTGCTCCCTGGCCTCAGGGCCCCCAGGTGAGCGGAGGACACTGATGGTGGTGGGAGACAGCTTCTGGCAGGAGGCACCCCTGGGTTCACCTGATTTCTCCTTGACAGCTGCTCGAACAGTGGACCAGGGCCTGGTGCAGTGGCTACAGGAACTGGACGTGGATTCAGGCACCATCCAGAGGGTGAGGGAGAGAGTGCTGGCTACCCATGACCTCTACCAACCAAAACTCCACCTCTGCCCCTCTTTCAGCTCTTCTCACGTTTCCCCTCTGATACAGAGAATCTCAACATTAGAGGCACAGTTAGGATTCCACTCCCATTGTAAAGATGAAAAAACTGAGGCCCAGAAAGGGGTGGGATCTGCCCTAGCATGCCGGTAGTAAAACAGAACTAGGCTCTGATCCTCTGGACACACCTTTCTCTAATTTTAATCTCTCCCTGTTTCTGTGTGGGCATCTTTGTCCACAACCAGCTGCTGAACCACAGCTTCACCCTCCATGCCCTACTGACCTGCGCCACTAAAGATGACCTCACCTACACCCGCATCAGGTATGTCCTGCACCCTCCAGGATGACCCATGCAGATGGGATCGTGCTGGTCAGATCCCGACCCCCAGCTACAGGCTTGTCTGGTTTCCTCTCTGGAAACCACAGGGACACCAGGCTCCCTTGGGGACAGAGGGGGCATTAGGCAGACAGTGGGTACCAGAGAGCCCAGGGTCTTCTGGCTGAGCCACAGGGAATTTGCTACCCCCAGGGGAGGGATGGTATGCCGCATCTGGAGAGCCATCCTGGCACAGCGAGCAGGATCCACGGCTGTTACCCCTGGCCCCCAGGAGGCTGAATGAGGGCACCAGAGGCAAGAGGCCAGACCCGAGGATGGGTGACTGGAGAAGACGCCAGCAAGTTCTGACACAACCACCCCAGGGCCCGGGGGCAACTGGAAGGGACCAGGTGGTGGTAGGGGCAGTCCAGCCACAGAGATGCCCAAGTTCACTGAGTACCACCGGACAGACTATTAAACAGAACACTTTTGTACCTTTGGGCTTTGGCAACTTCTGAGGTATGCGGGGGTCTTGGGGCCAGCACTCTAAGGTCTTTATGTCTGAATCTAAAGTGCCTTCACCTGGCCCCCTGCACTTCCCTCACTCGTTCCTGTCATCACCCCATCCCCCTAACCCCAAGCAGACATCAGCCCCTCGTTGCCCTTAGAATAGACTTTATTGACTTCCACTAAGGGCAGGCCCTGAGATGGGGGTCCGGAGAGAGGTTTGCCAAGGCTTGTCAGGCACCTATGTCCTGGGGGCCAGGTTGGTTCGGAGGGGCAGAAGCCCATCCACCCACTCGCATGGTCGCTCCAGGAGTGTCTGCCACAGCTGCTTCTCCTCAGGGGTGGAGTCCATCCAGGGCACCTGGAGCCCGTAGCTGCTGCCTGGGCAAGGGTGGAGGTCATGGTCACGTTAGCCACCCCAGGTCCCAGGAATACCTGCCCGGTCCCAGATTACGCACTGACACCAAAGTTCACAAAAGGAAAATGCCCAAGGCCACTCAGGAAGCCCCTGCCTCCCAGCATTGGTTGCCCCCGAGGGTCCTGCCCACTTACCGGTGCCCAGGCTGAGGCGTACGGCCCCCAGCTGGCGGCTGGCCAGGGCCCCATGGTCCCAGAGGGAGAGCTCAGCACAGGCCTGGCGCAGGTCAGCAGGCCGGAAGCCGTCATAAACCATGGTGTGGTTGAACACGGGGCTGAGGCTCCTTCGCACCACCCTTGTCCGCTGGCGGCTGGCCCGGCTGTCATCAGGCAGCACCGAGCTGTGGGGGAGGTGGGCTGGCATCAAGTGGCCACCCCTTTACGCTCTCCAGAACCAACCTAGACTCCCTCGCAATGTCCACGTCCTCTGGCTCCTGCCTGAGAACTGGCCTCCAACCCTCGATGCCCTAGGACTTTTGCACCAGCCTCCTCCCAGGTCTCCTGTGAGTAATGGCTCTGAAGTGGCAGTTTGCTACTCCCCAACTCAAAGACCTTCATGACTCCCTGCTGTCCCTCAGAGTAATTTCCAAACTTCTTAAAGCCTTGGGGCCCTTTCTGCAAGATAAAATATTGCTCAGAGGTACAAAACCTAAGAGAAAAACAATGCCTGGTTGAATCAGGGCTGGGATCTCAGAACCTGTTCGGCCTACCTCCATTCACTCTCTGAGGGTGGGGCAGAACCTGGACCACCAGAGCTACCCGGAGCTTACTTTGAAAACCACAGAACTGCAGGCCCCACAGCCTGGCCTTGCAGGATCTCCATGGAAGGGCCCCTGTGACGCCCCCAGGTCTCAGCCTCAGCTCTCCAACAAGTCCTATAGGTGCCAGCCACTGAAATGCAGTCCTTAGAGGTGTCCTCAACTCTCCGGCCTCAAGTTGCCCCCTTCACCCTGCTCAGAGGTCAAAGCCCAGACTAGGGGATCAAGGGTGGGCGATGAGAAGGGGGTGGGGAGCTCCACTTCAGGCAAAAGGAAAGGTGGGGAGCTCCCAGTGCCCTCACCATTGTATGTAAGAATCCAGGGATCCGGATCGAAGAGGCACCAGGTCCTGAGCTCCCTTCACCCAGAAGTGCAGCTCCCCGCTCGGGGGCAGTCCTGCGCCTGCGGAAAGGCCGAAAGGCCGGCTCAGGCTTCGGCCCATGGACAGAGCCCTCCCCCTTGTGGGACAGGAGTCCCCACCTCCCAGGGGCCCCGGCCAGCTTGGTCTCTCCTGGGCGCACTCACCCTCAGAGCCAGCGGGGACGTATTTGAGGGACAGAGAGAGCCTCCCGCGGCTGGGAAGGTCGTCAGGAGAGGGCGAAACCTGCGAGAGGGGGCTGGTCAGGGAGCAGGGACAGGACCCAAGGCAAAGAGGCCACAAGGGACGGGGTGGAGCCTCCGGACACCGATGGGGCGCGGTGAGCAGGGCGGGCGGGCAGAGCCTCGAGGAAAACCGGCGAAGGTGGAGTCTGCGGGGCTGGGGAAGGCTCGGCGGGTGAAAACGGGATCTGTGCCCTGGGTCCCTCTGCACCGACCAGTGGCCTCACCCGGGGCTGCAGGGGGAGCCAGATGGCCTCGGAGTCCCAGTCCCACGTGTCCAGGGGCACTTCGACTTCGCCCAGAAAGATGTTGCGACCCAGGCTTTCACGGTGCCACACGGACAGGCTCAGCACGCGGCGGGCGAGCTCGGCCTGCGGGACCGAGTACTGGGGACAGGCGGCGCCTTTAATGCGGGGCTGGTCCTGCCGCGTTCCCCGCAGGATGGAAAACGGGGGACCCCGGAAGGGAGGGCATTCGCGGGGGTCTGAACTGACGCTGCGCCCACCACTCTGGGCTCCCTGCCCTTCCTCCCGAGGAATGCAGGACGGAGGGACAGGCAATGACCACATGTGGCCGCCCCTGCCCCCTGAGCCCTCGGGCAGGGACGCCTGGTTGCTGAATGGGAGGCCGCCCCGGGCAGCCTTACCCGGAGAGTCTCGTTGAAGACCGGGTTCAGATTCCGCTTCTTCACGGCCGTCTTGCGCTTGCTCTGCTTGTCCGGGAGGAGGTAGCTTTT